CGAGAGCATTGCGGACTTTAAGGTTCGCATTGAGCAACTAATCAAGAGAGAAGTTGAGACTCGACGACTTTAAGCCGCAGACTATGAAGACCAACTTGCTCGTGCAGTTGAGGAATCCCAGAAGAGGCAAGACGAGCAAAATGCCGAGGTTTAGAAATTGAAAGATTAATTGGAGGTTCAGAAGCAGAGGCTTCCAAGGATAAGACTGATCTTGCTAACGCCCAGAAGCTGTTGGAGACTCGCATCTACACTGAAGAACAGTACGTCGAGGGCTTTGAGAATGGTTACAAGACTCCTCGGCGATTAGCTTTTCATGTGGAGCCCAACATCAACTGGGATCAAGCTGAAGCCTGGTCTATGGATCCTGAAGACGATCATATGAATGAGGCAAGCCCGGCTGATATAGCAATCCTGGCTCGCCAAGCCGAGGTCGAGAAGCGAGAAGAAGAGATTGCTCAAGAGTTGAATGCTGCTCATCCTGCTTCTTCTTCGGCTGACGCTGAGGCTCTAACTGCTCCGAACGATGTTCCCAAGAATGCTAAAGCATAGGAGCTCGGGCAGTCGTCTACTAAATCCTGCGGATCAACGTGTGCTTAATTTCTGAATGTCGCATCTGCTTTTGCCTGTGTTTTTGTCTTCAGCTTGCCTTTGTACAAACTCTTAATTGTTTTGTGTACTTTCGGCATCTGTGTTTTCCGGTTTGTGGGCGGCTACCGACTTAGATTTCCTTTTCATTCTGAACTTCACAAGTGAATTCCAAATACCAGCTTTAAAGCGGAGAGTAAAACAAAACACTTACACTGCTGATGTACAACCTATCTACAAATCCCACTGTAGATAATTAGTTATAACATCAAATCATTAGTTAAAACATCAAATCATTAGCAACAACAACAAATGCCAACCCTTATAAAAGCAGTGAAAGAAAAAAAAACACTCAGATACACAAAGTTATTCAGAAAAATCACAATGTTATTCAGAACAAATAATATCATCCTTGATTCTATAACCTCATCTACTTGCAACCAAGATACACAAGTTCATGAAAACAATCCTCAATAGATCAATCGACCCTTCAATAGCTCAATAGATACCAACATTCAACAATTCTATAACCTCATAACTTCCATATGACTTCACAAGTGAGACTTGCAGTGTGCTTCATTGAAGCTTGATTGAGGTGATGAAGGTTACCTAATTTCCCTTATGAACAGTACCGTCATTGTAGTTTTATTATCGCAACAAAGAACATCATTATCAGAACCAATTTTAAATTAAACCCCCCAAAAAAAAACACTAAATCACCTCTTTTGAGAATTCAGAATTAGCAGCTCACTAACACCTTCACCAAAGGAAAACCGTTCAATTGCATGCAACAAAGAACATATAAACCCCAAAAATTAAACAAACCTTCACCAAAGGCAAAATATTCAACTGCATGCACCAAAGACAAAGTGTTCAACTGCATGCAACAAAGAACATCATTATCAGAGCCAATTTTAAATTAAACCCCCCCCCCAAAAAAAAAAAAAAAAAAAAAAAAAAAAAAAAAAAAAAAAAAAAACCAACACTAAATCACCTCTTTTAAGAATTCAGAATTAGCAGCTCACTAACACCTTCACCAAAAGCAAACCGTTCAACTGCATGCAACAAAGAACATATAAACCCCAAAAATTTAACAAATCTTCACCGAATTGAATAACCTCATTTGAAAATACAAAATTAGTACCTTCACAATCCAAATCAATACAAAAAAAATTGCAAATGAACTGTAAAACAATCGAAATCAGTATAACTCAAAAAATAAATAGTTAAATTCAAACAGAAACTGAGAATGAAGAAATTGCATTCCTTAAATCAGAAATTCAGAGAAACCCCAAAAAAACAAAAAACAAAAAAAAAACTACAATGACGGTACTATTCATAAGAGAAGTTAGGTAACCTTCATCACCTCAATCAAGCTTCAATGGCGAACCGACAAACAAAGTGGAAAGAACAAAGAAAGAGTGAAGAACAGAAATGGAACGAAAGAGAAAAAATGGGAAACAGCAAAGAAAAAGTGACAGAGAGAGAGAGACAAAAGGGGGAAAAAAGAGGGCAAAATCAGGGAAAAATGGCAAAACCGCAAATAACTAAAAACAACGAGGGTATAACCGTCCGCACACTAGCCTACTGTTCATAAGGAGCTACTGTTCATAAGGGAAGTTAGGTAAACTTCTCACTTTTTAAGAGTTGTAGATAAATAAATATTGCTACACACGAAGTAGTATCTTGCGTTTGTTAGCCAGTTACTATATACTTGGTCAAATTGTAACCATCATTTATTGGCCGGTTACTAATAAACTTCTAACCTTGACTAATTCAAATTAGTAACCTTCGTTTACAACGCCAATACAATTACTAATGTCATATTATTTGTGATATTATCTTAGCTAGTTACTAGTGGTGTTTTAGTAACCGGTGTATTTAAGGTCAGTTAGGGCGTTACAATATCATTTTTTCTACTAGTGTATTTTGTATATAAAAAAGAACTATATAGTATCCTAATATACTCTTTATTTACGCTCATTTTTATACAAAAATTACTTAATGTAAAATACATACATATAAAAATATTTCATTTGAGTGTGTTGTGTGTATGGAAAAAGATATAATTGCCAAAGTGGAAGGTGAATATTAAAGGAAAAAAAAAAGAAAAAAAGTTATAGGCTATAAATACTTTTTAGGAAGGATGGACCAAAAAAAACAAAAAAAAAAAAAAGAAAAGGTAAAATGGAGGGAAAATTTTCAATCATCGGATGACGTGTGTCATCACTGGTTTCTCTTTTAGTATTAAGTTATTGATAAAGTTCAATGTTCATTTGAGAGTATATGTTTATGGATGAAAGAGAAGGTTTTGTGTGTAACCAAACTCACTATGAGTCCAACATGTCTAACAATAATATTCTAATATCTGACAATAATATGCTAATATATGACATTAATATTCTAATAACTGATAATAATATACTAATATATGACAATAATAATCTAATATCTGACATTAATAATCTAATATTCTAATATATGACAATAATATTCTAATATCTGACAATAATATTCTAATATATGACAATATATTCTAATATCTGACATTAATCATCTAATATCTGACATTAATATTTTCAAGGGTCTATTCATTTTCATAGCTCTCTTCCTCCCACCTTTGATTACTTCTCCATTTCACCCCTTACCCCATTTTCTTAGCATACCACAACATACCACGATCTGAAAAGGCAGTTACTCATAACAAATATTCTAACTATTGCAAATAATATCATTCTACAAAAAAATCAATCTAATTGAACCCCAATCAATAACAACAAATTGAAAATAGAAGTTAAGAATTACCAGAATAGGAGAGCAAGGGGAAGGATCATCCAAATTGACATGGCGATGAAGATCACCAACCTTAATTACGATGATGATGATGGTGTTGATGATTGACAGTGATGGTGGTGTTCACGTGGGCTTAGGGGTTGTGACGGTAGTGGTTATGGTGGTCGAATTGGGGTCGTTTGTGGGATGAGTTTAGCTTGCTCCTGCTGTGCAAAATTAGGGGAAGTGTGTTCGGAAAATAGCAGCAGCAAGGTGGGTGGCTATGGCGATGAAGCGGTGGTTTAGAAAGCGGAAGTGGGTGGTGGAAGAAGGTAGTGGAAGGGGTGTGTATTTGTTTAGACGGACTCACGGTGAGTCCGTTCTACACAAATTTTTTTGATGGAATAAATTATGATAATTAATTTATACATGTTCATATTGTGGAGATTTTATTTAGTTTTCATTAACGTTCAAATATGGAACTTTAATGTTCATTTATTATAAGTTTTAGGTTCCTTTTTAAATGTTCTTTTTCATATTATTAATTTATTATATGTTCATATCATAAATTAATTATGTTCATTGCTAAAAAGTAAAATGTTCATTTACACATAAAAAAAGAATTTACTATCCTTTTTTATAATTTGTTCATTTTCGTGTTAGAGGATGTTCATTCTCATCTTAGGGGATGCTGAATTTACCTTTTTGAAGCCATCAACATTATTAATAGTTGTTGATTAAATGGTTCAAAAGGATTAGTATTTTTGTTCATTTGACAAAAGAATGATAGATGTTCATTTTTGTTCAAAATGATAAAAATATGTTCATAATTGATTATTCCTTCTCATAGAAGTTTTGAGAAGACCATTTGTTCAATTTCATTTCAGAGGCTGCTCAATTTTTACTTTTTTTATATGTCATCAATATTGTTAATTGTTGTATGTTAAATGTTCAAATATTAACAGTAGATGTATATTTTTGTTTATTAGGTAACATAATATTGTTCATTTTTGTTCAAAGTGATGAAAATATGTTAAAATTTGAATGTTCATGCTCGAATCATTTGTTCATTTTTATGTTGTTGTAGGTTAAATGTTCAAAATATTATAGTAGATGTATATTTTTGTTTATTAGGTTACAGAATATTGTTCCATTTTGTTCAAAATGATGAAAATATGTAAAAAAAATAAATTAAAAAAAAAAAAAAAAAAAAAAAAACACTACAACAAAATTAAGCAAAGGGAACAGTGAAAAACCATTGCCTTATATAAAAAAAAGTGTTGCCTTATACTTAAGGCAACACATATGAGGTGTAGTTTATGCCCCTGTTGTCTATTCATAAGGCAACACATTTTTATTCAAAGGCAACAGTTTTTAAAGCCAAGGTAAATTGATAACTAAGGCAACAATTGTACAAAGGCAACAAGTAAAAATTGTTACAACCTTAGGAAACAATTCAAAACTATCTCCTTATGTTATAATATACAACAACCTTTCACTTGTTATATTTGTTAGTAATAATATAAATATGTTGTCAAATATCTTAAAGAGTAACACTGTAAGAATTAAAATGAATCGATGTGTGAACTCAACATTAGACAACAATTATTCTAAAAGAAAGCCGAACATCAATATAGATGAAAATTGATTTTATAACATAATGCTTGTAAACTCATCAAAATCCCAAAAACAATACTTAATGAAATATCAGTACATAATGTATCTATACCCTTAAGATCCTAAGTAGATTCACAATTTAGTACATTACCAATACTACTAATTGTTTGTATATAATTCAGTACACGAGGAAGGGATTGTAACGTCTAAAGAATAGAAAATCTAAAGCTCTAATATAGAGCAACTCTTTGTCTCTGTCTTCAATATATATATATCTCACTTCCATGTACTTTACACCTTGTAAAACCAATTATATAACAAAGTTAAAGAATAATATATTATTCAAAATTAAGAAAAATAATTCAAATTCTAAACAAAGATAAAGCATGACATAAATTTCACAATGTAGCTTAAAGAATTCAGCATATATTTACCCGAGTTAAGTTAGAAATTAAATTACTCAAATATGCTGCGTCTTGTGGCTAGAGGCTGCTAGGCAATTGCTACAGCAGGTTGGTGCATGTGCGGCTATCTACCTGCTGCGATAAAAGAGGGGAGAACTCAATGGAAGCACTTTAGTCACCATTCACTAATGTACTGCTGACTATTTGATACGCCAATGGCCGATGAAAAAGCATGAACATACATCTCGTGCAGAGAAAAGAACGGGAAGAAAAATAAACCAATGATTGAGAGTTCTGTTTAATGCTTATTAGACTATCTTTCAACAGTTTTCTAGTCAATAATGTCACCATTAGCTTATGTGAAATTCTGCATAATAATTTCAAACTGGGTTACCAAATATATAGATAAGACTGAGGTTGATCATATACACCTTTTATAAAATAAAAAGATCTTTTGGACATTTGGACAGATGAAAAAAGGAAAAGACAAAGGAACAAACAATGCACTAACCGCTTAAAATCAGTAATTCAACCCACCCCACGGCTTTTTTTTTCCTTATATCCTACCACTCAAAACCTTTTTCAAAGCCCATTAGGCCATCAGCTTCTTCTCTTTAGATATGTGGAAATACATGTATTAATTTCAGGAAGAAAAATCACACAAACGTAATTGGAACTACATATCAGCAAAATTGATGTAATAGCAATTCATATCATGGGATACTTTTGAAGGGAATATTAAACTCAATATGTCACCTAGTTGCTGCTACAGATAATTCTACATTCTCCACCTAGTACACATGCACAGTACACGCTAAACAATTTGTAAGGCAGTAAAGATATGCAGGACTACCCCAACTTGGGATGCTATTATCCATCCTCCACTCTCTCATTCAAACCATGTCTCAAGTGACTAAGTAAGATGAAAAATAGCTTGGGAAGGGGAAAAGCTCAAGTACAAGAGCTCTCCGAGTGCTCTGTAAGAGCTCCTCAAAATACCCCATTTCAGGGAATATTGGAGATCATAAATTCTCAAGAGTTTCACTTGTAGAAATATTCTTGGAGAGCCCTTCCAACTCTCCAATGGCCCCGTTGCTCATAGACTAAGCAACATACAAAAAAGTCTGATTCAAGAATGAAGTGAAGTCTCATAGCCTAGTTAGTCAAGGGGTAACATTCATACATTTAATCAAGATGGAAAAACATATAATAGATGACGTAGATAAGCTACCAAACCGAAAGAAAAGCATTCTGTCAAGGCAGCCAGCACTAAACAAAACCTGTAGCATCCTTGAAAGAAATTCATTCAACAAAGAAAAGAAGAGAGATTCTATCCAGAGTGGTTGATCCAATATTAGTTTTGACCAAACTAAGATCCGAAGCTAAGTTTTCATGAAGTTGGACAGAAATTTGTAAACATGAAAAAATTTACAAATTGCCTTATAGCTAAGAACTAAAATAAGATATTCCTTACCTCTATAGTGTATATGTTCACCATTTGATCATCTTGCTACCCCAGCTTCCCATGTCAACATGAAATTATTGCTACTAACTTTGTTAAAGAAAACCAATTAGTCATTATACACACATCTATTTCACTTTTCATGCCTGCATAGGCAGATTGAAACAGTCTAAAAATAAGCTACACATTCTAAGAATATTGCAGAGAGAAAATTTGCAGTTAACTCAAGGAAAAAGAGAGAATCAATCACAGTAGCTGAAAACTATTTTAAGAACTATTTCTCGAATCGTTCATAGTTGATAAACATAAAAATCATTTCATACAAACAAAATTGGTGAGTAGATGCTAGAAACACTAGTAAAAATAAGTATTGATCCCTTTATGTGGTTGGCTTACTCCCCTTCAACCATTCCCCACTTTCACCTTCATCAATCCCTTCAATTTTCTTTAATCTATTAACAAAATAAGAAAATTCTCACCAACTAGGATGGGACAAAACTAAGATTTCATAAGCTAGATAGTCTTACATAGTCACCAAGAACCAAGTCACAAATAATTTACCACAAAATCAACCAGTCAAAAAAATAAATGATATTATGTTACCCATTAAATGTAGAGCTGAACCAACATACATATCATTGACATAGTATGGAGTATTTCAAACTCCATTTGCTCCATAAATCTCCTAACTTTCTCCACTAAAGTACAAACAATACAGAAATCACAATTCCACTAAATTAGTATTGCATGTATACAAAAATTATCTTATGTTTTTTAATTCATGAGAAAATAAACAGCAAAGAATTATAGTTTTAAAGAACAAAATAGAATACCTAGATGTTTGTTTGATGTTGCGAACTTTGAAAAAATAAACCTTAATTTGCTCTTGATTGGTGAATTAAACGCATCAATTTTCAATTTACTCCCTAAAAATCCCAATTAGCCACCTCAATTAGACATTAAGAATGAACAAAATCAATGTTTAAACCTGAAGAAAAAAAACCAAAAGGAAATGAACCGAACCAGGATCGGTAGGGCGTTTAAGTCCGATTTCCTCGATAAAAACCATTGTAAAACAAGCACCAACATCATTGTCGAGATCACCACCCGTTTTCGATCAATCCTTTTGGAAACTGAGGAGCACGCTTTAATGGAAAAAGATAGCGATAGTGAGGAGAGAGATAGAGAAGAAATGAGTGATGGTGAGCAGTTGATAATTGAGAGTGAAAGCACGAAAATGAAAAATAAGGGAAGGGCATAATTGGAATTTCATTAATGATGGGGGCATTGTTGTAATAAACATTAACGCCACAAAAATTTGTTCATATGAATCGTAAGTGCGTAACTATAAGGCTTCATACAATCATACTTTTATAAAGTGTATGACCTGTATGTATAGATTTTTTTCTAAAAAAAAAATTTAACTGAAGATCCTTTTGAGGTTAGTTACACTCAAAAGTCAAAATAATATGGAGTAGTTTCTTTTAAGGCTATCTAAATTTAATAATCCTCCTTTTTTTTTTTTTTTTTTTTAAGTATTACGGAGTACTTTCTAATCGACATATAATTTTAGCTACATTATCTTTTATACTACATATAAATAAATGTAAAGATGTAAGTAAGGTAGTTGAAGAATTTAAAAAATTTAAGAAATAATAGCAGGTTAATATTTTATCGAAAAGTAAGGGATGTGAGAGGGAAAGAAATAATTATATATATAAAAAAAGTAGTAGCATATATATTAAGTTTAAGTTGGTTTAAAAAAATAAAAAATAAAAGGTTTAAGTGTGAACCATAAGAAAAGAGAGATTTAATATATAAATTAAAATGGGGTAGTTTGCCAAAAAAATAATAAAAGTATAACACATTAAAAAAAAAAAAAAGTATCTCATTTGGTAAGTGTAAGACATTGTTCTCTTCACCTTAAAATAATGATATTTAAAATTTAAGGTTCATTAAAGTTATTTCAATTTAGCAAAATAATTTAATTCAGTTAAAACTAGTAACTTTAAAAAAACAAAGATAATAGGTTATCATTAAATATAGTTTTAGTTTAGTAAAAATAATCATCAACTCTAAAAAATAAGTATAATAGAGTATTAGATCAGTAAAATAAAGGTTTAATTTGAGTGAAAATAATTTAGTTTATTAAAATTAACTTCATTTTAGCAAAAATAAGGTTAAAAGAACAGGTATTCAGTATTTGCAGCTCGCATTGAAGGAGAGCCATAATAACATTTGACTTGAAAATGAGGGATAGCTTAGATGGTTATCCTAATCAATTATTATCGCTCACTCTTGTGGCTCTCTAAAAAAAAACATTAACTTGTGTTGATAACTGTTTGTTGGGTAGCATTTTGATAATTATTTGCTCATTTATCATCAAATAAGCAAAAAAAACCTAAAATAGTCTTGGGTGGTGTTGCAGTGTATATAAATATTTTCCGTAATTTATAGGTGATCAACAATGTCTTAGTCCAGTGGCCCGATTTGACCTTAAAAATGTATTTTAAGATTCGAAAAAAGCACCCCCAAGCCCATCCTTATTTTGTGAGTTTGGGCATAGAATTTTATACTTAAGCCCGACATGACCTAATTTCTTAAAACTTGGTTCGAGTGTATGTGTTCTGCCATATTCTAGATCAAAATGATGTAAGGTACATTACATCACTTATATCTATTATGTAAAACTATTTTTTTTTCTTTATTTGTCTTGAAAATTACCCAAATAATTATGAGATGCATAAGAAAAATAATGGAGAAACCCATGATTTTCTTTTAAACATTTAATTAGATAAATATCATATAGTTGGCAGGATATCAACTGATGTTTATGTAGTAGATGATCAACATAACATAAGTGCTACATTGTTAAGGGACAATTGTATTGTTGTTATCTTTTCAGGCAACATATCCTAAACATGTTGCCTTACATAAGAGAAAAGCAACACTTTAGGTAATTGTTGCCTTAAATGGCCTATAGCAACACATTTTTAATTGTTGCATAGGGACCTAGTATTATTATTTTGATTCATAGTAACATTTGAAAATCGTTGCCTTAGGTTATCAAGGTTAATAGTTTTTTAAGTGTTGAAATTTTAGGCGTTGCTTATTCTCATTATTTTTGTAGTGAAAATTGATTGTTCATTCTTCAATAATCATTTAATTGTTCATTTTTATGTTAAAGGATGTTCAATTTTATTTTAGAAGATACTCAATTTACTTTTTAAAGTCATGAACATTAATGGTTGTTGGTTAAATGTTCAAAATCGTTACAGTTGATGTGTATTTTTGTTCATTTGGTAAAATAATGATGTTCAAAATGATGAAAAATTGTTCAAAATTGATTGTTCATTCTCAAAAAAAGTCTTGAAAGATTATTTGTTCATTTTCATGTTAGAGGATGTTCATCTTTATTTTAGATGATAATCTTTTTCATTACATTATATAAGTTATTATTACTTTAAAAACAAGGGATCTAAGAAAAAAAGACAATTCAAAATAATTTCATGTTCATAATAATATATTATAAGATAACATGTTCTTTTTCTTTATGCTATCAAAAATATGTATGTGCGTTAAAAAAATTACAATATCTTTTGTTCATTTTCATGTACTCTATAAACAAATGTTCTTATTTCTATAAAGTCGGTCTCCTATAAAAATTATTTCTCTTTAAATAAAAATGTTCATATTTATTATACGGAGTATTATATGTCCATTAATACTTTTTAATGGTATTCGGTACTATTTTAGGGCCTATTTTTAACTACACAATGTCAAGGTCTTGAGTAATTCTAAATATGTTCGAAAAGCAACAACAAAACGAAAGAGTTCCAAAGAAGGATTTCAATAGATAAAAAGGCTATCAAAGAAGTGGTGACAACAATTTAAGCAGCTCAACAACAACAAAATAAATTGTTGAAAAAGCTAGTAATATTTAAAGCTTAAGGAAATGTTGTTAAAGAAGCAACAACACTAAATGCTCATTTTTACTTTTAGCTAAAATGTTCAATTATAATATATTTATGTAGAATTATTATTTTTAGGTTTCAAAGTGTCTTTCCTTTTACCCTTATATTAAAAAGGTTCATTTTTATTTATTGTAGCGTTAATTTCAATTTTAAAATATTTATTTCTTCTGATTTGGAGTTTCTTTTTCATTTTAAAAAATGTTCATTGTTATTTAATGAAATGTTCATTTTGAATTTTGGATATTCATTTCCTTTTTCAATGTTCCTTTCAAATTATGTTTGATTAGAAAATGTTCATTTATTTTATACTAAATATTCAATTTTCAAAACCAAGAACTAGCCAGATAAAATTTGTGTCTCCTCCCTTGCTTTTGCGCCTGTCATCTACCGTTGCCACCTGCCACCTATCGTTGTTTGTATGTCAAGTCTCTGACAACCACCGTGTCAAGTCTAGCCACACCGGCCGGGTTTGTAGCGAGGGAGAGAGATCAAATGTGATATGGGAGGTTTAGTTAGCAGTTAGTTTGATTAGCAGTTAGTTAATAGTTTGTTGTGAGTGGGAAGTTTGTTAGAATTATGTTAGTGGAGGAATTAGTTAGTTAGTGGGTGAGTTAGTTGATGAACAACTGTAATATTAGTGGTTGTTAAAATAGTGGGTGGATTGCTAATGTAGATTTCCACTACCTATTATACATAAATACTGCAATAATTGCTGACTCAATTATGCAATTAATTTCTCCTATTTCTCTATGCTCATCTCTCTCCTATTTCTCTTTCTAACCCAATATTTTCGCCATCAGAGGAGCTTCGACCTTCCTCCTTTATCATTGGTATCAGAGCAAGGTTGTTGTCAATTCTTTATTCACGAAGCGATTCTGGTGCCTCAAGCTGCTATTAAGAAGATTGTTGCAATGGAAAACAACTCAGATTTTGGAAAAATGAATTGATGATCAAAATAAAAAAAATCGATCAGAAATTCAAAGAGATGTTTAAGTTGATGCAATCGATTCAAGCTTGGAATATTAAAGAAGCTTTATCTTCACCTTCTTCAGAACCTTCGTCTTTTAACAGCTTTGAGAGGTCCAATCAAACCAAGACCTTAGGTATGAACCCTAAACTGGAATTTTCTAAATTAAATGGTACTAATCCAAGAATTTGGTTAAAAAAATGTTGCAACTATTTCAGTTTATGTAAAATTGTTGAAGATTAGAAAGTTGATTTAACATCTTTGAATATGACTGATAAGGTTGAAAGTTGGGTGATGAACTACTTGTCCATTAGAAGAACTTGGTAGTTTATTGGGACGATTTTGTTGTGAATTTGTATGCAAGATTTAAAGATAATTTTGCATTAGATGTTGTTGAACAATTCGACAGGTTGCAGCAATTGGGTTCAATTAAGGATTATATAGATGAATCTGAGAATTTGAGGTTTGTGATGTTAATGAATAATCATGTTTTTCCTAACTCATACATTCTTGACAGTTTTGTTGTGGGTCTTAGACCAGCTATTAAGCCTTTTGTTAAAGCTTTTAGCCTACGATAATTTCTCAAGCAGTAAAGTATGTAAGGTTTCATCGCAGGAAGAATCATTAAATTCTGTTGTTGTAAGTTACAAGCAGAACAAATATTCTTCGTATACTCCCAAAACCTTAGCTCCAAGTACTTTACCTCCACTATTGCCAACACCCTAGACTAAGCCAACTTATTCAGCCCTAACTCAAACTCCACAAAATACAAGAAACTATAAACACATTCTAGCTAATTTTAGGTAAGAAAAGACTGCTAAAGGACTGTGTTACTACAATGATCAACCTTATAATAGAGAGCATAAATGTCAATTCAAGAAACCTCAGCTTTTTACAGTTGAAATTCCAAGTTCTTAGGAATCTAATGAAGAAGAAGAGTTGAATCCATTCATAGGAACTGATTTAGAACCTCATATTTCAGTAAATGCTCATGTTGAGAGCTAGTCTTTTCAAACAATGAGGCTTAAGGGTAGGGTTAATGGAAAGGATTTACATATCATAATTAACTCTGGTAGCACCCATAATTTTTTGGATCGGATATGAATGTTGTAACCAGGTTGGGGTGTAAATTGAGTCAGATTCCTTTTCAAGTTATTTCAGTGGCTGATGGGAATCATATTCCCTATAAACAGATGTGTAAGGGATTTACTTGGGAAATGCAGGGACATGATTTGATGTAGATGTCTTATTGATTCTCTTGGGAAGCTGTGATATGTTGTTGGGAGTACAATGGTTGAGACTTTTAGGGCCTATTCACTAGGATTTCTAAAAGTTGAGGATGGAATTTACTTTGCATAATGAACATTTTGCTCTTCAAGGGATGCCTTATAGGAAGCTATTTGTGGTAGAAGGCAATCCTAGTAGGAAGGTATTAGATTCTGCTTATGTCTTTTACAGGTCATGGAAGTTGGTTGCTCTTCAATGCAGCTGGAACAGGACACCAAGGATGTCCTACAATGTCCAAAATTATCTGACCTTAAGGAATAGTATAGTAAGTATGTTTTTTGAGGAACCTACTGAGTTGCCTCTAGTACGAGGGTGTTTGATCATTCAACTCCTTAATGCTTGGCAGTACTTCAGTCAATATCAAACCTTATAAGTATCCTTTGAAGCAAAAGGATGTCATTGAACAACTTGTGCAAGAGATGCTGAATAGGGGTATTATTCAGAATAACTCAAGTTCCCTATTCCAGTGATTGATGAACTCATAGATGAGCCAGATCGTGCTTCAGTTTTCAGTAAATTGGATCTTAGGGCTGGTTATCATTAGATGAGAGTTAGTGCATATGATGTGTTTAAAATAGCCTTTAAAACTTATATAGGACACTATGAGTTTTTAGTTATGCCTTTTGTCCTAACTAATGCTCCTGCTTCTTTTCAGGGGTGGATGAATCATGTTTTCAGGCCATT